GGCCCCCAGTTCTTGGGAGGAATAATGATATTACACAAGCATATTTTCTTTTCTTGTGATTTTGGCATTTATGCCAGAAGACAATTATTAGAGGCCTTACAACTCAATAGGCTGAATTCTACGATACCAACGGTTCAGGACTTGCTCTCGGACAGGAACGATCAAATTACTTTAATAGTGGCTGAATTTCTGAGTGCTGTCCACGTAGAAAGACTGGGCCATTATAAAGAGATTTAGCGGTTCTTAATTGATCGGTGATGGGGTAGTGTTGTATTGTATTATTTACGCAAATTGATTTCCTCTGGAGTTAAAGATCTGACCGGGACAAACCTTGTTACGCTGAGCTCGTATTTTGCACAATTTGTATACGGCGCCTGTTTGATAACGTGTGGTTTGCTATGCCTAATAAAGGATATTTGATTGGAATGATATCACACGCGTTTCTGGTCCATTAATTCCTCGCCTCTTCTCTCATTCCTGCATCTTTCCAGAACCTTCTTGAATCAAGGTCTGGGGTTGAGCAGCGGAAGAAGAAGGAGAATATCGAAGGGGTTTTAACGTGTTTTTAAGTTATTATTGATGGATTGATTGAATTCATAGATTGCCCTATACCCGGAGGTCTAGGGCGGTTATCGCTTGTGTTGATTTTTTTTAAAAAATGTTTAAATAGTTGCTTTTATCTGTTTTCACCAATAATGTTATTTATTTTATTCTTGCAAACCAGGGTGGACTTTGGTAATACGGTGCCCTGAGCAAGGACAACATTTGGCAGCCCACGCTAAATATTTCTTATTTTTCTAATGATTCCTTTGAGTACAGTTGCTTTTTTTATACATCTTCTCAGTAAGTACCTGTATAAATATGGTGTTGTTGTTTTGCAACCCCTCAACCGCCCTGGGTTCAAGGGTGCCAGCCAGCCTCAAACCCCACCTTGCTGATTGCTCCCCACAACCAGAATGGCCACCTTTGGGCCTGACCCAGGATGTATATATAGGGCTCTCAGCCAATCAGAAGGCTGGATGCCTGGGAGCCAATCAGCTTCAAGGGCCTTAAGGAAAGACCCCATTGCTTTCTTTGCTTTCTTTGCTTCTCAGTGGTTCAATAAATGAGTCAAAATGGTCACCAAGGAGCAGATATCAGGCTGTGAATTTTGTACTCACTTCCTGCCTGCAGGAAAAAGATTTACCGTATTTTTCGCTCCATAAGACGCACCTGACCATAAGACACACCTAGTTTTTATAGGAGGAAAACAAGAAAAAATATATTCTGAAAGAAACAGTGGATGTATGATTTTTGTGGTTCATGCTGTGGCCACAGACATGTGATTTGACGGTGAGTTTGGGGTAGCCCAATGCCAAAATTATGAATTCTGGTGCTGGAGGAGACTGTTGAGAGTCCCACGGACTGCATGAAGATCAAACCTCTCCATTCTGAAGGAAATCAGCCCTGAGTGCTCACTGGAAGGACAGATCCTGAAGCTGAGGCTCCAAGACTTTGGCCACCTCATGAGAAGAGAAGACTCCCTGGGAAAGACCCTGATGTTGGGAAAGATGGAGGGCACAAGGAGAAGGGGACGACAGAGGACGAGATGGTGGGACAGTGTTCTCGAAGCTACCAGCATGAGTTTGACCAAACAGTGGGAGGCAGTGGAAGACAGGAGGGCCTGGCGTGCTCTGATCCAGGGGGTCACGAAGAGTTGGACACGACTAAACAACAACAACAATGCAAAAATCCTGAGGATCCATGTGGATCCGTGCTTTGTAACCACGTATTTTGCACCATTGTGGCCCCACGAAACAGTGGGTGCGTGATTCTATTGATGCAGGCTGCAGCCACGGACATGCTATGTGATCTGATGGTGAATTTGGGGTGACCCAATGCAAAAATCCTGAGGATCCAGGGGCTTTTACCTCCTCCCTCCCAGGCAGCCTCCTTTATCTCTAGCGTCCCTTATCTCTCTCCCGATCCCACTAATCAGCTGTTTCCTTTCAACACTCCCTTCCCTCTGGTTTGCCTTAGCGTCTTTTCCTCAGCTGGAGCAGTTTTTTGCTCCTCCTTTTCTTCCAATTTCTCTCCTTGTTGCTTTAGTCTTCCTGTCTCCTCTCCTTGCAAGTTCGCTGTCTTTACCTCCCCCCTCCCAGGCAGCCTCCTTTATTGATAGCGTCCCTTATCTCGCTCCCGATCACTTGCCGATCAGCGGCTTCCTTTCAACACACCCTTCCCTCTTTCTAAAAAACAACAAACATGATCTGCTTTTCCCCCCTGGGCAATTTCGAACTGCTAGGTTGGCAGGAGCAGGGGACCGAGCAACGGAAGCTCACCCCGTCATTGCGGGGATTCGAACCGCCAACCTTCCAATCAGCAAGTCCTAGGCTCTGTGGTTTAACCCACAGCACCACCCGCGTCCCGATGTAGTGGTTAGTACTTCAGACCAAAATCTGAATCCCCAGTCAGCTATGAAGCTCACCAGGTGAAACCTTGCAGCCAGTCCCTGCCTCTCTCGACCTGGCCTACCTCACAGGGGTGTTGTGGGGATAAAATGAAGAGGCCAGAAGAGCCATGCCCATTCCACCTTGAGGAAAAAATGTGAGATATACATGCAGTAAATAAAATAGCTGAGGGCGCCACGATCCCCCACAGCCACTGTACCGCAGACCCCATTTTCGAAGACAGTTTGCAGACACTAGAATGCCTGGTGGAAATTTGTGCAACCTGGCTAAGTTTGCAGAGGGCGTTCTGGTGGCGGAAGAAAGTGCTTTCGTGTTGCTGGAGGGACCCCTGAGAGTCATGCGGCCTAGGACCCACGTACCTACGGGACCGCCTCTCCTGGTACGCCCCACGGAGAGGTCCACAAATGACAACACCTTGGAGGTCCCAGGTCGCAAGGTGGTTAGATTGGTCTCAACTAGGGCCAGGGCCTTTTCAGTACTGGCCCCGACGTGGTGGAACGCTCTGTCCCAAGAGACCAGGGCCCTGCGGGAGTTGACATCTTTCCGCAGGGCCTGCAAGACAGAGCTGTTCCGCCTGGCCTTTGGTTTGGACTCAGTCTGACCCTTATGGTTTTGATCTATGGGCTACTTTTAAAATGAGGCTGCATTTTAAATTGCATTTTAGTCTGTATTTTAAATTGGTTTCCCCACCCCCCATGTTTTTTCTGTAATTTTACTGGTGTTTGCCGCCCTGAGCCCGGCTCTGGCTGGGGAGGGCGGAGTATAAATAAAATTATTTATTATTATTATTATTATTATTATTATTATTATTATTATTATTATTTAGTCCAACCCCCAAGGAAGGAATTCTGGGTGCTGCAATTTAAGGAGGATGTTGACAAGCTGCAACACGTGCAGAGGAGGGCAACCAAGATGATCAAGGGCCTGGGAACCAAAGTTTGTGAGGAACAAAGGAGTTGTTTAGCTTGGGAATAGAGAGACGAAAGAGATGAGAGCCATCTCTAAATATCTCAAGGGGTGTCACGTGAAAGAGGGAACAAGCTCGTTTTCTCCTGCTCCGGAGGGTAGGACTCGAACCCATGCCTTCACGTTACAAGAAAGGAGATTCCGACTAAATATCAGGAAGACGGCAAGAGCCGTTGGGCAATGGATCGGTCTCCCTCGGGAGGTGGTGGACTCCCATCCGTTGGAGGTTCTTAAGCAGAGGTTGGGGGGCCATCTGTCAGAGGTGCTTTAGCTGAGATTCTTGCATTGCAGAGGGTTGGGATAGATGGCCCCTGGGGGTCCCTTCCAACTTTGTCGTTCTATGGTTCTATGACCTGAACACCATGAAGGACCTAAGAAGAGCTCTCCTGGATGCGGCCAGTGGCCCACCTTTTCCAGCATCCTGTTCTCACAGTGGCCAACCTCAACATTTACTCTAAGGTCACCAGGAACATCTCTAATTTACTCTAAGGCTACCAGGAACATCTCTAATTTACTCTAAGGCTACCAGGAACATCTCTAATTTACTCTAAGGTCACCAGGAACATCTCTAATTTACCCTAAGGTCACCAGGAACATCTCTAGTTTACTCTAAGATCACCAGGAACATCTCTAGTTTACTCTAAGGCCACCAGGAACATCTCTAATTTACTCTAAGGCCACCAGGAACATCTCTTGTTTACTCTATTAGGCCACCAGGAACATCTCTAATTTAAGGCCACCAGGAACATCTCTAACTTACTCTAAGGTCACCAGGAACATCTCTAATTTACTCTAAGGCCACCAGGAACATCTCTAATTTACTCTAAGGTCACCAGGAACATCTCTAATTTACTCTAAGGCCACCAGGAACATCTCTAATTTACTCTAAGATCACCAGGAACATCTCTTGTTTACTCTAAGGCCACCAGGAACATCTCTTGTTTACTCTATTAGGCCACCAGGAACATCTCTAATTTAAGGCCACCAGGAACATCTCTAACTTACTCTAAGGTCACCAGGAACATCTCTAATTTACTCTAAGGCCACCAGGAACATCTCTAATTTACTCTAAGGTCACCAGGAACATCTCTAACTTACTCTAAGGTCACCAGGAACATCTCTAATTTACTCTAAGGCCACCAGGAACGTCTCTAACCTACTCTATGGTCACCAGGAACATCTCTTGTTTACTCTATTAGGCCACCAGGAACATCTCTAATTTACTCTAAGGTCACCAGGAACATCTCTTATTTACTCTAAGGCCACCAGGAACATCTCTTGTTTACTCTATTAGGCCACCAGGAACATCTCTTATTTACTCTAAGGCCACCAGGAACATCTCTTGTTTACTCTATAAGGCCACCAAGAAGATCTCTAATTTACTCTAAGGCCACCAGGAACATCTCTAATCTACTCTAAGACCACCAGGAACATCTCTAACTTACTCTAAGGCCACCAGGAACATCTCTTGTTTATTCTAAGGCCACCAGGAACATCTCTAATTTTCTCTAAGGCCACCAGGAACACCTCTAACTTACTCTCTAAGGCCACCAAGAACATCTTCCACCCTGGAGCCCTCCTCACCTCATATCCCTTGCGCTTCTTTAGCCTCTTCTTGTTGAGGCGCTTGTTGGCGTACATTTTGCCGGTGGCCTTCATCTGGCAGGCGCACACCTCCCCGAACCCCCCTTTGCCCAGCACTCGGAAGTCCATGAACCACTCGTCCGTCACGCTCTGGGCCTCCAGCCACTTGAACTGGAGGAAGCGGTAGAAGAAGAGGCTCTCCTTGTAGGGGGCGAAGGCCTTCTCCTCCAGGTGTTTGAGCAGCTGCTTCTCGGACTCCTTGAAGAGGTCTCCATGGCTGTGCTTGCTGTCCTCCTTGACCCGCATGATGGCCTTCTCCTCCAGGAAGGAGCAGAACTCCTTCGAGGCCGAGTCGAAGTACTTGTTGATGGTCACCTGGGCGGTGGAGCCTCTCATGGCCTCCTCCGATGTGTTGTACTCCTCAATGCTTTCCCACAGCCCTGCCGCCGCCAGGAACTGGGGCGTGTCCTCCAGGAACTGCTGGAAGATCCTCTTCCCGATGGGCTGCCTCAGGCAGATGAATTTGAAGTCCAGGTCCAAGGTGTCTTTGAGATGCTCGCACTGGGTGATGTGCGGCAACTTGAGCTTGGCTCGCATCTTCTTGTCGCGCCCCGAGGACGGGCCGCCGTCGCCCCGAGCCGACACGTAGGCCGAATTGGCCACCACCGTCTCCAGGCCTCCGATATCCATGGCGGCTTCGCGTCACCTAGAAAGGCAAGCAGAGGGGGTGAATTCCAGACCCTCCAATTTTTACGATACGACATACAGTGGTGCCCTACAAGACGAATGCCTCGCAAGACGGAAAACCCGCTAGACGAAAGGGTTTTCCGTTTTTGAGTTATTCGCAGGACGATTTTCTCTATGGGACAAAAACGTCTTGCGAGTCTTGCGATTTCCCCCCCGCTTTCCCCCCCTTTTTCTAAGCTGCTAAGCCGCTAATAGCCTTTTAGCAGCTAAGCCGCTAAGCCTTTAATAGCCGCTAATAGCTAATAGCTAATAGCGCTAATCCGCTAAGCCGCTAATAGGGTTGCTTCGCAAGATGAAAAAACCGCTAGACGAAGAGAATCGCGGAACGGATTCTTTTCGTCTTGCGAGGCACCACTGTATTGTCATTGTCCCATACAGAACAATGGAATTGAAAACTCTGCATAATACATTCAAAACCCCCTAAAAGCTCTGAAACCCCCTTTTAAAATACAATATACTCTATAGAGACTCCTTATACAGTGGTACCTCGGGTTACATACTCTTCAGGTTACAGACTCCGCTAACCCAGAAATAGTGCTTCAGGTTAAGAACTTTGCTTCAGGATAAGAACAGAAATCATGATCTGGCAGCACTGCGGCAGCGGGAGGCCCCATTAGCTAAAGTGGTGCTTCAGGTTAAGAACAGTTTCAGGTTAAGAATGGACCTCCAGAACGAATTAAGTACTTAACCCGAGGTACCACTGCACTGTGTTTAAAAGGGACGCGGGTGGCGCTGTGGGTTAAACCACAGAGCCAAGGACGTGCCGATCAGAAGGTCGGTGGTTTGAATCTCCGCAATGATGGGGTGAGCTCCCGTTGCTCGGTCCCTGCTCCTGCCAACCTAGCAGTTCGAAAGCACGTCAAAGTGTAAGTAGATAAATAGGTACCACTCCGGCAGGAAGGTAAACGGTGTTTCCGTGTGCTGCTCTGGTTCGCCAGAAGTGGCTTAGTCCTGCTGGCCACATGACCCGGAAGCTGTACGCCGGCTCCCTCGGCCAGTAAAGCGAGATGAGCACCGCAACCCCAGAGTTGGCCACGACTGGACCTAATGGTCAGGGGTCCCTTTACCTTTACTTTATACTGCGTTTAAAGCCAGAATTGCATTTGGAGAATTGCAGAATTGCAAACTCAGGCGGCTAGTCCTAGTCTTTATAACTCTGTACCTTCTTCCAGAAGGCAGAAGCTGAAAGAGATCATTTCTGGGGTGCGCACTATCCTGCGCTATCTCTGCAGCTTTCTTATGGCACCTGGAAGCGTAGATTTGATCCAAGGTGGGAAGAGGGCACCCAATTATTCTCTCCGCAGTCTTTACAACCCTGGACAGCATTGTTTTCCCCCAGACCATGCAGCTCCCAAACCACACACACAGACCATAAGTTAATACACTCTCCACAGTACAATGGTAAAATACCATCAACAGGTCCTCCCCCCCCCCCGGAGGATTCTCAGAAAATATAACCTCTGCTGTGCTCTCTTCATCGTGTCTTTGCTGTTTTCTCCCCAGGTTAGGTCATCTCTCAACTCCAGTCCCAGAAATCAAAACACCGAGACCTGTTCCACGCACTTCCCCTCAATAATAAGTGGCTGCACATTCAGTTTACATTTCCTAAAGTCCACAATAATCTCTTTTGTTTTCTTTAAGTTAAGGAGTAAGTTGTTTTTCCTGCACCACTCCCCCAACTGCTCAACTTCCTTCCTATAAGCCGCCTCCCCCTCTCCAGCTGTGATTAAACCAACCACCGTTGTATCATCTGCAAACTTAATTATCTTATTACTGGGGTATTTGGGGGCACAGTCAGCTGTCTAGAACGTATATAAAAGCGGGCTCAACACACATCCCTGTGGTGTCCCCATATTCATGATGAGACCTGCAGATCCTGACCCGTCCTGACCCTTTGGGAACGGTTTGGTAGAAAATCTAATATCCACCTGCACAAACATGGTGGAAGTCCCAGGTCTAATAATTTGGGCACCAATCTATGCGGAAGAATAGTATTAAATGCAGAACTAAAGTCTACAAATCACAGTGTCGCATAGTTCCCTTGCTCCTCCAATGGTCAGGGGTCCCTTTACCTTTACTTTATACTGCATTTAAAACCAAAATCACATTTGGATAGAAACTGTTTCTCAGGCGGCTAGTCCTAGTCTTTATAACCCTGTCCCTTCTTCCAGAAGGCAGAAGCTGAAAGAGATCATTTAAAAACTCTGGTTTTAACATATGCACGGGTTTGCTTTTTGCCTAGAATGTTGCACGTCGCTTTGAGCCACCGTGGCCAGAAAAAGGGACTGATATATTGAATCGACTAATAATGAAATAGCAATAATAAAATGCTGATGGATTTACATGAGGACTTTTTAAATTTTATTTTATTTTATTTTATTTTGCAGGAGCAGGAATGCAAGGAACTGAATTTAATATTGGGGGAATGGGAGCCAGAGAGCACTGAAAAAAATGGACAGCTCCTTGACTCAAAAGAAGATTAGTGGGCGGGAGAGGGCAAAACAGGTGAGGCTATCAAGATGCCAGGAATATCTTAAGGAGAGGGGGGGGGTTAAAGGAGGTGGCCGGGGAGGGGAGGAGAACAAGCTGCTCCAGGATTTAGAAGATTGGCATATTTTCTTATGCTTCCGGACTTCTCAAGGATGCTGGCCAAGCGACACCTGCATCCCCACTGCGCGCATGCGTTCCGGGGAGGGAGCTGCACCGGTTGAACTTCCACGCGTCCCGCAACTTGTCAAAAGCTGCCTCTCACATTAAAAGGGAAGATCGGAAAACTGCAAATTAGGAGAAATTCTATTTCTAAAAAATAGAATTGCCATTCAGATTTTTAAAAACTCTGGTTTTCACATATGCATGGGTTTGCTTTTTGCCTAAAATGTTGCACGTCGCTTTGAGTCGCAGTGGAAAAAGGGACTGATGTATTGAATCGACCAACTAATAATGAGAATAGCAATAATAAAATGCTGATAGATTTACAGGAGGATTTTTTAAACTTTTTTTTTTTTTGCAGGAGCAGGAATGCAAAGAACTGAATTTAATATTGGGGGAATGAATATTGGGGGACTCGTCAAAAGCTGCCCCGTACATTAGAAAAGAAGATCGGAGATGGAAACCACAGGATATTCCAACAATTGAAGAATGGCAACTGAAAGTATTGGAGTATGCAGAAATAGCAAGGCTAACTTGGAAGAATCCGGTGGCAGGACGATAAGAAATTCCAAAAAGAATGGTCCAAATTTATGGTATACTTACGAGAAAACTGCACATAAATAAAGACACTCACAGGACTGAAATAAAACTCATAATGTTTATCATGAATGTTTGGTTAGACCACAAGATGTAATGCTGTAATATAATAAGGAATGTATGTCTAAAGAATAATACAAAAATTTATGAAGGAATTATAGATGTTTATAGTATGTATATATTGTTTTTGTTTTTGTTTGGTCGTTTAGTCGTGTCCGACTCTTCGTGGCCACATGGACCAGAGCCTGCCAGGCACTCCTGTCCTCCACTGCCTCCCACTGTTTGGTCAAACTCATGCTGGTGGCTTCGAGAACACTGTCCCACCATCTCGTCCTCCGTCGTCCCCTTCTCCTTGGGCCCTCCATCTTTCCCAACATCAGGGTCATTTCCAGGGAGTCTTCTCTTCTCATGAGGTGGCCAAAGTATTGGAGCCTCAGCTTCAGGATCTGTCCTTCCAGTGAGCACTCAGGGCTGATTTCCTTCAGAATGGAGAGGTTTGTTCTTCTTGCAGTCCATGGGACTCTCAAGAGTCTCCTCCAGCACCAGAATTCAAAAGCATCCATTCTTCGGCGATCAGCCTTCTTGATGGTCCAGCTCTCACTTCCATACATCACTACTGGGAAAACCATGGCTTTAACTATACGGACCTTTGTTGGCAAGGTGGTGTCTCTGCTTTTTAAGATGCTGTCTAGGTTTGTCAGAAGAGGGGTGGAGGGAAGTTAATTCGGATAAGATTTATAGATTGAAAGGAGAATAATATTGTTAAGCTGTGTTGCGGTTAAGATATTTGGAAAAAATTACTAAAAATTATGGGGGGGGCGGGAGATGCCTCATGCATGCAGAAATCTTTTCTGAGGCCATGCTAGCACTTTCACCTTGCCCTAAAAAGTCCCCAAAATGTCACTAAGAACCAGGGCTGCAGTGATACACAGGAGATGGTTTTGCCAAGCTGTTGTTCATTTTTGTTTGTTTATATCCCACCTCCCCCCCCGGGAGCTCAGTGTGGTGTACATGGCTCTTCTCCCCCCCCCTCATTTAACCCCCGCAACAACAACCCTGTGAGGTAGCTCAGGCTGAGAGAGGCAGTGACTGCTGCCCTGAAGTCAGCCAGGGAGCTTCATGGCCTAGTAGGGATTTGAATCCAGAACCTAACAATCTAACACTCTAACTCATGGGTAGGCAAACTAAGCCGCGGGGGCCGGATCCGGCCCAATCACCTTCTCAATCCAGCCCCCGGACGGTCTGGGAATCAGCATGTTTTTACATGAGTAGAATGTGTCCTTTTATTTAAAATGCATCTCTGGGTTATTTGTGGGGCATAGGAATTTGTTCATTATTTTTTAATATAGTCCAGCCCCCCACAAGGTCTGAGGGACAGAGGACTGGCCCCCTGCTAGAAAAGTTTGCTGACCCCTGCTCTAACCACTATGCCACACTGCCTACTGGGAATTCGGAAGGAAAGAAGGGCAACACAACACATCACAACAAAACAAGGCATCCTGTTATCGCAGGAACGGTCTCCCTTGGGCAGTTGTGGACTCTCCTCACCTGGAGGTTTTTAAGCAGAGGTTCGAGGGTCATCTGTCCGGAGTTCTTCAACTGTGATTCTTGCTTTGTGGGGGTTGGACTAGATGACCCTCCGGGTCCCTTGCAATTCTACGACGTGTGGGAGCCTTCTGAGACCCGTGCACAGCTTA